GATCCCAAGTCCACTGCTCCGGACATGGATGGTTTCCCAGGCTATCAATTCGGTCCTACACTTCCGTTACTTCCGTTACTTCCCCCACCTCGCCGGGTCGAGATCGACCCCAGAAAGATGCTGCCCGCAGGGCCGGCGACCAAGAAAGCCCGGCGCGAAAACTGGAACGGTGACACTACATCCGTACAACTCAGCAGCGCCAGTAGTTTGCGTCCGTCTCCACGTCCGGCTGCGCCTCCCCAAGATAAGTCAATACATAAGCGGCTCCAGGCTGATATTCCTGAAGAAGACGAAGACGAAGAAGACACCTCTAGTCTTACCGAATATATCACCCAGGCCCGTCTTGAGAAAGTCTTTGTGGTAAATTCGACGATAATGGACCCTGAGACCCAGCTCGAAGATGGGGCTTTAGGTAGAAAGAGGGAGAAACACCAGGGCGTCCTGTTTAGCGAGTTCTCTTCCTCAGGTAATACATCAAACTCTAAGGGCATAGGCAATACCGCACTGCGGCTGCCTAGCTATGTCGTTCCGGATGGCATACGCAATGCCGCGCCCATGTTTCACGTGCCCGGTACTAGCACCGTTCCCGGCACCTTTGTTCCCGATACTAGCACCTTTCGGGGCACCTTCCACGTTCCGGATGAAGAACCCGAAGAGGAATTGTAGCGAAGACGGGGGAGTTAGGCGGGTTTTCACTGAAGTATATAATCGTAAATAAAGAAGTTAATTTATATATCCTCAGCATTCTTCTCTCAATATTTTTAGACCCTACATCCTCTTCTCGACTTGCTCTGTTTGTAAGCGTAGGTCAATTGGGACAAGATCAAATCAACAAATAGGAGTCACTGGCATTTGGGTGCCGGACGACACACTCCGAGTCGTCTCGCTTGGACAGTCTGGGCTATTCATCCAGAATAATCGTCGACGTCGCTGGCCCCTTCCTTGATTTTCTTCGGTCTCTTCTCATCTCGACTACTGCTTCGCTTCCTTTTCGACCCCGCTCTATCACGAAGCAATAGAACGCCGGTGTTTCCATTTCTACCATGAACTTCCGACTCGTGAAGGTGCCAGATGGAGAGATTGTCAATCATGATGTCCTCTTTATTCCCCCCCCGGCATTCTGGGCACGGAAAAGGTATGTCAAAGATGCTGGATGTCGCGTGTGTTGTTCGAAAATGCCGCGAAAAGCCGCTCCCAGACATGTAAGATCCATCACAGAGGAAACAGGGGGTCTTCGTGTTCTGCAAGACCGTTTCGGCGGGGTGTGGCACATTTGGGGCGTGTGCCTTGCCGCCGTGGCACCGCTCGACGTGATTGCTCCACGCAGAGGCCCCGCCGCTGACGATAAAATCCTCCCGTCCTAAGCGTCGACATTCAGGACACGAGAACGGCTTGTCGAAGGCCCCTTTCGAGATATGGGCATTCAAATTATGCTTGGTGAGGTTGCCGCGATGCGAGGAGGGTGACCCGCACAAAAGACACCGTATTTCCTCTGTCCCCTTCGTGCCGGTTGTGGAAAGTCCGGTTGTGGGGAAGTCGGTTGTGGGGAAGTCGGTTGTGGGGAAGTCGGTTGTGGGGAGGTCGGTTGTGGGGAGGTCGGTTGTGCCGGATAGATATTGCGTGTAGTTAACGAGCAGTTCAATGTAGAATAGCATCCGTCCCTCTCGGAGGTCACGCTGACTCAGGAATTCGGCGATCCTCAAAGCTGCAGGAAGTTGAGTGGCAAAAAACACCTTCTTGTAGGGTTTGCCACTGGCGTCTGCTCGTAGATCGGTGGTTGGCAATCCACGAGCTCTCCGCATGTCGACTTGCTTAAAATACTCTATCCTTCTTGCCTGTACTACCAAGCCGGACAATACCCGACGTAGGTGAAAGATTCGTGCAGCGATCCGTTTTGCCTCCACACAACAGGACGAGTACATTGCTTTTACTTCTTCGTAATGAGCACGGAAGGCGCGCATGTCTCCACGCTCCTCAAAGCCATTAAGTTCGTCTTGAGTGGGGTAGAGAGGGGCATTTTCGTCCCTCTTTAGGGTCACGAAGCGGAGCGTATTGAAGAGAGCGCTATTCTCTCCTGCCTCATCACCAAAAGCTATTTCTTGGAGATTCTCTTTCAGATACCGAGCCTGGTAGTTGCTTTCGTGTATTTTTGTCGACTGGGACATGATATAGTTACGCGCGGCTGGTTCAAGGGCCCCTGGAATAGAGAATATAAGTTAAAAGCTAGTGAAAGACGTAGGCGGTTCGTCTTACCGTTAAGTGTTGTAGCAGCACCGACCCGTAGCGAGTATAGCAGCAACTTCCCTCGGTTGCCCACTACCAAGACTGTGAGATTCCACAGCTCCCAAAAGCGTGCGTAGCTCAGCGGGAAAATAGGTTTATTCTCCATGTCAGGCTTCCATGGCAACTCGACACAGTTAACACCATCTTCGATAGGCCGATTGAGCGCATCAGTCAAGGATGAAAGGTCGAACCCAAGGCCAAAGGCATCCAGAAAGGCCTCATCGATGAGCGCTTGACCGACGGTGAGACTGAGGAGGCAAATGATCTGGCCAGGTATAAAGGTAATAGCAAAGGAGATCCTATATTAAAGGAGACGTTAGGTAAACTAAGGCGTGTAGCAGAAAGCCAAGGCAAAGAGAGAAACTTACGTTTCTGTTTGATTAGTATGAACGTGCTTTGTCCTCTGCTTATTCTGGTGAATCGTGAAGGTCGCGACAAGCCTCGTCTTTTGCGGATAGTTCGGGTCCCGAACCAGGACCAATTGTACCTGGGAATAAGGCAAATTCACCAATGTATCGGGTCGGAAGCCACCAATCGTGGCTAGTAGAACCAGAGAATGGAATGCGAGCCGAGTTCTTGGGTCACAGGGTATATCCTGTGGGCGACCCCATAACCCACCGAGAAGCACAATAACATCTTCAGCTCTTGTTGCTTGTTTCACGAACATCTGAAACCGCGATAGGCCGAATTTGTCTGTCAAGTCGGTGCATATCCACTAAAAGGCGCGTCAGAACGAGATTTAGTTGGCAGCCAACGTAGCAAAGAGCACACAAGGAACAAACCTAACTCACATTGCTGATGTTGTAGACGGGTCCTGAGCCGCGCCCCTGATCACCCCTGTCCCACCTCAGCTTCCATGTGACCCTACTCCCATCAGCCCGAAAGGCCGGAACGATCCGAGAACTTCGAGCATCCTCCCTCTTTTTTTGGAGAACCACGAGGTCTGCCTTCAAGATCAATGCTTTCCATAGCGATAGAACAGTACGAGTTGAATTGACTGTTCGTACTAACTCATGTTCTTTTGGACCAAGGCATGGTTGGCGGGTCGTGGAGTATTCGACATAGTCTGTGAGAAAAGCCCGACAATGGGCCTGAGCGGCTTCACTGTCATAACACAAGCCGATCCAGATCTCGTCGGGGTTCCCTATGTCCATCAATTTGGAGTAGCTACGGACAGAGGTGTCAGCCAAGCGAGATAATAAAAGAACGGTGAGCATAAACTTACTCGCCGAATGCACGCCATGCATGTTCGCGTGCCTTTGTCGCCTTTTTGCCAATTGCCGGTACGTCGTCGATCGGTTCCACGACGAAGTTCCCAAAGTTTTGGGCGGCTTTCCGCCTCCTTTCATGCCGCTCCTCGGATGATGGAATCTTCCGGCCATATGGTATAGCCGGCGGCGGAGCGGACATTAGGGGGGACGCAATGGCAGGCGATATAGCGTACGGAGAGGGCAGATAGAAGTTGGCCGACAAATGGAAGAACAGCTCTCAGCCATCAGAGAAGGTACGGCCTTGTGGTCAACCGCCCGCCGCCTGCCAGCGACGGATAGCGAGTGACCAGCGCGAACAGGGTGGCAGGCGGTGGGCGGAAGGCGGCGCGTTCGGATCCAACACTCACGGGAGGTTTACCCCGAGCGCAGCGGTAGCGGGTACCGCCTAGAAGATCGCCAGCTGATTGGGAGTGGCGGCCGGTAAAGGGGAAGACGGCTAGCAATGCGGAGAGGTATTGGTAATGGCGGATGGAGAAGGCGGATGATACAACTTGGTCGCAGTGGAAGTGGGCAATGGAGATGAAGCGGTGCATATGAGGATGAAGAAAGAGGATGGAAAGAAGATGAAGAGAGGACGAGAGAGATTTATAATTTAACCTAGGGCGGCGGCCACTTGTTGAAGGTCGCTCTTTCGGGAAGCGCCATGTTAGCGATGAGATGTGAAAAGCAATGGAGCAATGGCCTAGTTCGTAGGGGGGGAAGGAGGGACACTTTTCGAAGATTGCTCTTTTCGGGGAGCGTCATGTTGGTGGTGAGATGTGAAAAACAGTGGAGCGATGGCGAGCCTCGCTTGTACAGGGGGGAAGGCGGCTCGAAAGAGCTGTTGGTTGCAAGCACCAGTTCAATGACCCACTCTTTTTGACGCCAAGAATTGAACTGGTGCTTGCAACCCAAAGCGGTTGGAGAGCGTTCTAATTTTAGGCCGTGGAAAACGGTGATGGAAAACGGTTCGCCCAATTGAGAGCTTAGTCAGCCAAGTGCAGCCGCTCTCCCATCCCCAACTGACAAGATAGCGGTCGCTGGCTTGTCTATGGGAGAGCGGACGGGATCCCGAATTCTCCAGTGCCTATGGTCGTATGTGTTTATCTGGGTGGGAAACACCTGCCATGATCGGGGAGTGGGAGACAGATGGGAAAGACTAGGAGCTGGGTCGTTTGCTAATCGTAAAAGCTCTGCAGAGATTAAGGGAAGTGTATTGGTGATGGCAGTTTTCTGGAAGGGCAGGTACCTGGTATAACCAAAGACATTTTGTGAAGAACCGCAGCAAACGATGTCAACTGTAGCAGTAGGTATCAGAAGCAATGGCAATGCACTACTCCTTCCTCTTCATGCTCTCATGTTCCTGCGGAAGAATGGCAGTGTAAAAAGAAAAGAAGGCCCCATGTGGGCACAAAAAGCATATCTCCACAACAAAAAGTGAGTTTTGAGTCCAGAGAAACTCGAGCTTGGACGGGCTGGGAATCGAACCCAGGACCTTTCGCATCACGGGAACTCGTCGAGAAGACGAGAAGATGCTAAGCGAACGCTCTACCAACTGAGCCACACGCCCTATGCTTGTTTGATGAGAGTTGTGAGTGGGATTGGGGTCTTTCAGACGAGGGTCACCCGGGATGAGCGTGGATGCAGTAGATATGGTTGTGGGGCGGAGAGTTTGAATTGGAAAAAGTTGAGAGCGCAGTGGATTAAGTTACGTCTACGTCAATAGATGATATGATGAAAAACCATCGGTGAAGTATAATAAAGCAATACTAAAAGTGCTTGAAGAAAGGCAAGGCATGGTTGTCGACAACATTGGATGGTCAGGATCATCGTCAACAATGGGGAAAAGGGGCACCCTAACCCTAACCCTGGTATGTCAAGGCTCTTTGCCCCATCTGACTGAGATCCGGCCTGTATCCCAATATCCCAATTCCGATACTAAAACCGGAATCTCAACAGAAAAAAAAAAAAAAACTAATGCAACGGATGGAAGTCTCTTGCTTTGTCAACGGTGATCGGGATTCAGTGCATACCTTCATGTGCAGGGGTGTTGAGTGGTCGGCAATCCCGTTCGTGCCTCGGCTTGGACAAGCGAGGGTTGCCCTTGCCGCGAAATAAAACGTGCGCGCGGTGCAAAAAGGCTTATCAATCAGCGATAAGCCCCCAATTGGCTTTTCTTGTCCCGCTGGGCTGCGACAAAGACACCAACAGCAGCATTCTTGGAATCCACACCGACCGCGCTCCTCGGCGCCAGATCCATGGCAGCGCAAGGCTCCCGAATCCCGATTGCCTGGGCATGCATATGGCGATATTAGCCACTTCCGTTCGCCGCCCACCGTGATGCCTTTGCCCGGGGCTTCGTCATCGCTCGTATCCAAGTGTGGGAGCGCCCTCTTTTGCTTCGCGCGCGCCGCCCCTCTGTGGATCGTTGTCATTATCGTCCTCCTGCTCGGCGCCCTGAGATCCCATCTCGCTGTGTTTGTCCCCAGATCCCTGTCCGGCCTCCTCGGCCTCGACCCGACGTCAAGCGGGCCCATTGCAACTACCGCCCAGCCCAGGGCGTTGAAACAGGGCGGCGAAGAAGAGAAAAACCTGAAACCCGATACCGAGACATAAATGCCGCTCGAGTCACCACCACACCATATCGTGTCCCCTTTGGCTTCCCGCTTTCGACATCTCCCCCCACCCCATACGGGAGAAAATAAGAACAAGATGGCGTCCGTCGGCACCCTCTCGCTCTTCTTCCCGGTCTTCGTGCCCGCCAGCGCCGCCGCACTCGCCTATGCCGGGCACCGCGCCTTCTACTTCCACTGGCGCGTCTGGCTCTGGAAGTTCCTGACGGGGCCAGGGCGCAACAGCAGAGTGCTGCTTTTGGTATTCCTGGTGCTGAACTGGAAGAGCCTCCCGCTCGCCTGGACTGTAAGTATCCCTCTGTCTTGCCTTCACCGTTTACCCCCCAAAGCGACTGACATTCTTCCCTCTTTGACAGGTCCGTGTTTTCCATGCCTTCCTCTACCATGTCCTGCGCCGCCCGAAGAACCTCCCGCCCCGGGCACTCTTCCATTTCAGCATATCCTCGTCGCGAACCTCGCTGCTCGAGACTGATTACAACATGCACAAGAGCAACTCGACCTATTTCGCCGATCTCGACGTCAGCAGAAGCCATTTGGTGACCCATCTGCTCGGCCCTGCCATGGCTACGGTTGGCGACAACGCTAAGAACCGCCTCGTGCTGGACAAGGACGGCAAGGCAGTGACTGGCGGCTTCGGTATCGGACTGGGTGCTGTTTTCTGCAGCTTCCGCCGCGAGATCGCCCCGCTCGAGGGCTACGAGATGTGGAGTCGCATCCTGTCATGGGACCGCAAATGGCTGTACATTGTTACGCACTTTGTGGTCAAGGGCAAGGTGCGCCCGACAGGATGGGACGGTCGTCGTATGGGCCCCACCAGGAACCGCGTCGTGCTGGCTGATGGCGAGAAGAGCGGCGACTGGAGCAAGCACGTGTTCGCGACTGCTATTACAAAGTACGTGTTCAAGCTGGGCAGGTTTACCGTGCACCCGGCTATCGTCATTGAGGCGAATGGTCTGCTACCCCCTCGCCCTGACGGCTGGCGTGGCGGCGAGTCTGAGACCGGCACACCTGTGGACCTCGGCGACATAGCCGATGTCGATGGCGAAACCGTCTGGGACTGGAAGCATGTTGAGCAGGAGCGTAGGAAAGGGCTGCAGTACGCTGAGCACTTCTCGGCGTTGGATGGGACGAATTCCTTGTTTGATGGAGGCGAAGATGGATCCATTGGGAGTTTCCCTCTTGGCTAGCAGATATTGGATAAAGAGCGACATCTTTAGTACTTTACCCACCAACGATTAGACTGTACATTAGAGGGGCACTTACCCATGTATATATAACTGATACAACTTATCTTGACAACCAAGTCTGTGTCTGGCTAATGTTCAGTTTTATGTCCACCCGATACGCAATGGGGCGATCATGGAAGATTGTTATTGGACACGGTGATACACTTTGGCTTCTCATGACTATAGGTCGTCGTCGCTACCTCGCGAGCAAGGTTGAGGTACAAGTCGCCGAAGTTAAACGCAACAATATCACAACACGCGAGAATGCAGTCGTAGAAATCGTAATGTTAACGGTAAAATACCGGGGCCACGGGAATTCCTTCAAACCGTGAACTATCAGATCACCCGCGAAAAGACTGGTCCAGTCCATCATCAAAAGCTCAAGCCAGCAAGGGCGCCACGAAACTCGGTCGTATGTTTACCCACTTTTGTGCCGGTTCACGGCTCAATAATTAGTTGGCCACGACTCATATAAACAACAAACGATACCCATTCTGTTGGGGGGAATGGAGACATATCCCCCGTCTCATCCACCGTGCACAATTTTAGTTCCAATATTGTCGTGAACAGACACAAGGCGCTCGATTTCGGTGCAAGTATATGGTACTATCCGGTTCAACTCAGAGTCGATCGTCGTTTACAAAATCATAAAGGCTGGCGTGAACCCGCATATCTAGCTATTGGACGTTCACATTTCCCGTTCGCTTACCTATCCTTGTTCACATATCCCGTAATTTCTGAGCATATCAGCAACAACCACAAACCCTCCAATCGCAGGAACGCAGAAGATCGCAATTATAAATACAAGCACAAGAATGAGAACCCCGATGTCACTTCCTTTCACCGTCTTTCCGGTATCCACGTCATCATGTTCGGGGATGGCAAAAGCGGCTCAACAGGTACCACGTCCACAACCCAACCTCCGCACGCGATTCCAACAACCAGCCAGCTCATGATCCACCTTCGTTGCGTTTTGGTGCTTCCTCCATCCTCAAAGTGCGTCATCCCGCCGCCGCCGACGATGACGAGAGGGAGACAGCCCAAGAGAAATGGCAGAACAAAAAAGTTCCAGGGCGAAGTAACGAAACTTGGCGCCGCGTGGCCCATCATCATAACGTTCAAAAAGTGCGTACTCGGGCACAATCGCAAAGGTTCCGTCAGTTGAATAAACGTCTGGTGTGGCGATGGGAGCGTAGGTGGTTTCGCGGTCTTCATATTCAGTCTGCTTTATTATTTCCACGACTTGGATTTCCTGATTTTTTCCTAGTGGGAGTAGATCTCACGTCGTAAACAGCGGTATAGGAGCGGCGTCGTCCTTATTATCCCGCTACTGCTGCTGCTTTGGCTCGAGTTTTCCCACAATTTGCATTCCGGAGTGCTGACCATGTATAGGCTCGGATACTGTGGTCGGCACCCCCATTTTGGCTGTCTACCAGGACGAGGCTCTGGATGTAAGAGAGAGGAATTGGAGGGTAAGGATTTCAGCTCCTGCATGTCGGAAAGTCGGGTTGAACTACCGCCAAAGACGCGACAAGGTAGGGCGAAAAGAAGCGCAAAACTGAACAAGGGTCTGGGAACTGAAGGTCGGTTTCAGGTACTAGTATTTTTATTAAAAGCTTTGTGAAACCAGGTAGCATGATACATGCTGCTCTGGCGTCAATCGGTGATGTCGAAAAGATTCCTGAAGTAAAGAAATAATGATAACCATCCGACAGTCCACCCCCCTCTCAAATACTTATAACGAACTTTCAGCTGTCTCTTTGGAGTCGGTGACCATCTGCGATCCATCCTTACTTGCCTCACTCCATTCCGCGCCTTCCACTATTCCGGATGGAGGAGTCAATCCTCCATGGTCACCGACTTCAGCCTCCGCTTGCAGCGTGGGCGATGATCTGCTTTCATCAATGGCCTTCCCTTTCCCCTCCCCTAGGGCCGTTGATGATCCACCTTGTTCACTATCTTCGCCCTCTGTTCGCAGAGTGTTCGATGGCCTCGCCTGGCTGGGCTCTCGGCCATTGCCATCAACATCATGTGGACGAAGAAAGGTGACCTCCTTGCCGTGCGAGTCCTCTGTAGGTAATAGGTTGTAGCGCGCAAACGCCGGCACGATCAGTGTTAAGGCCTCAGTTATATCGCGTGCCAGTCCGGTATCAACCACCTCGGCCGCAATGGCAGAAAAGACCGAGTTTGTTGAAGTGCGTGTGATTATATCTACGGCCGGCTGTGCGTGGTGATGCCGCCGACTTGGAAAACTTGCGACGCCACTGCGAGCATGAAGATAGAGAACAGCTCTTGTGCGTGCTGCATTTCGAGACTCAGCCCCGGTCTATGCTAGACACGTATGTCTTTACTTGCAATCCCATTCTCTTTCCTGTTGTGTGGAGTGGCTGTGTTAGTATCCTGGCAGTTTGACTACTGGCCGGCAAAGAACTGGCATGGTGTCAGTACGACTTAACTCACAGCATCATGCCTGACACATAAGTACCAAATAGTGCACGATACCTTTCTCCCTGCTCTCGGCTTCGTTCTTGGTCTGAATGAAGATCCAGATGATTTCGGCCATCTGGAATAGGGATGTCAGACACCGAAACCCCGAGCCAGTCCGAAAGCATGTTTCTCTGTGCAAGTTCACTTTGAATACAACCGATAATCCGAATTCACTTATCTTCTGTAGCCTGAGCATCCCAAAAGTTGTGGAAATGGTACGGGAC